CCGATTAATTGATACTAATCCGATAATTTGGTAGATTCGAATTTCTGATTTTAAAACATTATTAGGGTTGAATCAGTATCCTGTTGAAATTCGGCATTCTGATTTCCATTCAGCATTCCGTTTTCGGCATTCTGTTGTAAATCCTATATTTCGTTTTTCTTTTGGTATGTCCATTTTCCTTCAGTATTGGAAATTAGGGTTACAATTTTTTTTTTTTTGGTTTTCAATCAGCTTGGGGAATTCAAACGTTTTGGGACCGTAAATCCGGAAATTCCGCCGAAACGTGGAAAATTAGGGTTGGGACTGGAATTTTCGCGAATTTTTTTTTTTCGTTCCCCTTGTTTGAGAAATTCCGAAAACGGGTTTAGGCCTTTAAAAATCGGATTTTGACGGTGGAAATTCCCAAAATTTCACGTTTTTTGGAGATTTGAGTGTTTTTCTCCTGATTTTTGTCCGAATTTTTTTTTTTGGCAAACTAATCCGACTCTGACCCTCAGCATTGCAACTTCCGGGTAGTTCACTAATTAACGGTGAACTCTCGGACTCAAAGATGATCTCAATGGATACCTGATCTTGATAACAATTCAAATTCGCTCATTATCATTACTGCAAATATTGTTTTAATTGATTATCGTTAAGAAATCATTATTGCAAAGATTGTTTATTGATTATCATTAAGAATTATTCTTTCGCATTAATCATTAATTAAACTTATTGATTAAATAATTCGTTATTATTCTTCTTATTACGAATTTTCGAATTGTTTACAGGAAAATTTATTTTTTTTCTGTTTGATTAGGTGTCTTAGTCCATCCTTGGGACAGGGACTGTATGAATATTGCTTGATTTGTTCTATCCCTGTGACCACCCTCTCCCTCACACTGTTCTGCGATCCTTCGGACGAGCCAGTCTTCAGCAACAGTTTCTGATGCCAGCAGGGCCAGCCTCCGAACAGCAGCCACGACGCAGCAAGAGGATCGCCGATCTCCAACAGCGACAGCAACCTCCAGTTCCACAACCGCCACAGACCAGTACTCAGATGGCGAACACGCCACACAGCGGATCATCATCCGAGGGTTCGACAGCTAGTAATGCCGAACCTTTACCGGTCTGTCCGGTGCAAGGGTCGAATGAGCCCCTCCCGGACTTCATTCAGAGAATGCAGGAATATACAGCCGCACTCACCCAGGTCAAGGAACAGCAAGAGGCTGCCGCAGCCGAAAGACTACGGCTAGCAGAGGAAGCTGCAGCACAAACCCGGCGTCAAGCAGAGGCAGACCGGTTCGCGATCAATCAGCTCAACGCCACCAGCACTGAACGTGTAAGTGCTAACCAAGCACAATGGACAGCGGTGCTCAACGGGATGCGTTATGTCCCGATACCCGGCAGCGAGCCGACAACAGTACAGCAGGAGAGGCAAGACCTGGCAGATATTCTACTCCATACAATGCGCGCCGTCATTTGGAACAGCACCATGGGGGAGCTGCATTCCCAGTCCACACTGCAGCTGCAGCACGATCTGAGCCACAACGTGATGATACTTGCAGCAGCTGTCAAGGTCGCAGACAACCAGCTGAAACAGCTAGATGCACGCATTGCTACCTTGGAGGCAAGGCCTCCCCAAGCTGCGCCAGGCTGCACGACATATATGACAGACATGACGAAGCAGCTCCATGGGCGCATCGATCATGTTGTCAATCTCATCGGTGACATAGGTGTTTTCAATGGGCCGGACACGATCAGTAGCACGGTGGCCGCCATCAAGACGGACATCACCAAGCTGCAGACGAAACCGGACGCCGCCACGAAGAATTACAAGATGCCGCACTTCGACATCAACAAGTTCGACGACCACAACAAGACGGACGCTTTGGCATGGTGGCAACGTTTCCTCACGGAAGCATCATGCCGCACTGTCCCGGCCGACGACATGATGAAGGCGCTATACTTACAACTGATCGGAGGAGCGCAGGCATGGATGAACCATCTGGCGACTACCCACAAATGCAGCATCGCCGAACTCCACACGCACCTCACGTGGAAAGAGTTCGAGAAGCTATGGTTCACCCGGTTCATGGTCCGCAACGTCGTGAAGGCGGCCATGAACGAGGTGTACACCTGCTCTCAAGGGAGTATGCCAACTCGAGACTGGACAACCAAGTGGCAGAAGATAGTGACCACGCCAGGCTTCGATTTGAGCTTTCCAAATCAACGATCCGAGTTTTTCTCGCGATCGTGCGCAGGATTGCGGTCGGCACTCGATAATGAGTACGACTATACCTCGTTCCAGGCTATCCTGGATCGCGCAAACCTGGTCATCCAAACGGACGACAAGGCCACTAACGAGAAACAATCCCAGCCGCATTATGTGGCTAAGCAGGGCTATCAACGTCCGACATATAACAATGCCGTGATTTATGAAGAAACAGACAATCTCCACGCTGCAGCAGCATCCTCGAGTGATGGAGGAATTGTAGCAGCGCTCCCGCCGAAGCGTCCCAAAAGAGTTCGGAAGAACAAGGCGACACATGAGACGACATCGACGGGAACTGGGCAACAACCATGGACGACTTACAAGATAACCAAGGATGTCTATGACCTTCGACAAAAGTACGGATACTGCCTTTGGTGCAACGGCGTCATGCATTTGACCGCACAATGCCCCGAAAAGGGCAAGACACGCGTACCCCGTCCAACAAACTCGGGAAACTGAGTTACGCAAGGAGAGGGGCTACGTCTCTCCTCACTCCGCCGGAACTGGTTGCCTTGCTAGCAATCGATGTCACTACCGGGGAGCATGCGTTAGTCGCTGATTCTCGTGCTACGTACGAGGATTATGCCGCCTTGCTGGTACCACCATTAGACCAGCCGAGCCACGTGCATTTAGCTAGCGTATGCGCAGCCTGTACACCGTCGGCAAGAGATCCGGTCAGCTCGCCACTGACTTCCGAGGACTCAACGGCGTGGTCAAGACTTGAGGAGCTTGACCCGCTCACGAGAGAGGACTTCGCTTGGATGCCTCTACCCTC